CCCCAAAACCCCAAAACCCCAAAACCCCAAAACCCCAATGTCAATAAAAATAATTGAAATTTAAAATGGTAAAGTTATACACAGAAAGTTTTGAGCGGAAATATCATGCAAGGGTATTCTCATGAACAAATTTATTCTATGTCCTGACTGTTATCTCAGTTTGGGTTATTCCGCTTGTAATAATAGCTCTGACAGGAAGCTTTACAGGAATACCTTCAGTAAACTACTCACGATCGAATGTAAAGTTCACTAATGAGGTCTACATCCAAGGTGATTTTGGAGGCACAATCAGAAGTTATTCAAATATTCAGCTACTAAACCAGCAAATTAATAACAAAATATCTGGTGTGATCTTTAAGTCAAGATTCAGAGATGAAAATAATGACAGAATCCCAGAAGAATACAAATTTGATTTATCGTTTCTCACAAATGCAGAGTCAGTCAATAGTCTGACAATCTTACTCCATTTTAAGTACTATATTGAGAACGGTGTGAACTCACAATTCAAAGGAATAGTCCCTATCATAATCAGCTCTCCTTCAGGAAAAAGTATTGGTGAAGCCTCGATGGTGGGTGAGCTCAGAATTAGGCAGGATGAACCTATTGAAAAGCTAAATGGTATTCCAGAGACTCTCTATAACTTAAATTTCACAGAGGAGATTCTTAAATATTCCCCTGAGCAGATTATTGATAGATACACATCAAGGAACCAGACTCTTAATTACGTGCATACAGCTCGTGTGAATTCTTTTAATAAAATCAGTCTTCTTGATACAACAACTATCAGCATTGAGATGGGGATTCCTAACTTTGCCAAAACTCTCTACACTCCTGGAGCTCTAGAGACCCTAAAAATTGCATGGATCCAATACTTTGCCATCCTGGTTCCTATCTACCTGCTATTATACATTGGACTCTTTGCAAGAACCATCGAGACTTATGTCTTCGATTCTGTTATGACTAATGATTGCCAGTCTTCCATTCGACATAAGCTAAAGAAGTCCTAATCTTTAATAATTCCCTCAATATTGCCATTGAATGTTGGGGTTTTGGGGTTTTGGGGTTTTGGGGTTTTGGGG